CTCCAAACCTCAATGGGATCATAAATTTGGAAGATTATACTCCAAAAAAAAAATTGAAATGTCAAGGTTGTATTTCATTCTCATGATTGATGACCATCATTAATATTGAATATTCAACCCAATTTATTGTCGTATATTAACACAGGAAATCTTTTTTTTTGCTTAGAAAGAAAAATCTTGTGATTTTCTTTACAAAAAACATAATCCTAATTTTTAGTTTATTTCTTGTCATTCCTTTGTAGAACCTTTTTGAGTTATACATATGACAATTAATGCAACTTATCATTGTCCATGTTATAGTATTTATGGTATATGACAATTTTACTTGTGGCAGGAGGTAAAGAGAAGATCATGTTATACATTTTATTTCATGCAACTATGCACATTGGATTTGCACAGAGTCTTTGAAGCTACCATATGATCTGTGTTTCCTCGCCATTTAATTTACTGAACTTTGTTATCATTTACGGCCTTATCATCACACTTATCATTGATAATGTCCTGTTGAATTGATTACATTGTAGAACAAGCAAAACATTAGAGCGATATCAACGTTGCTGTTACACATCCCAGGATTCTAACGTTGCTAATCGTGAAGCACAGGTTTGTGTTCTTTGGCATTTCGGGTTTCCATCATGTCAAATATTTTGTGACCATTTTCATTCTCTTATATTATTTTGATGACATTTTGCATCAAGAACTATTTTGACAATGTGAAAGAATTATACTACCAACGCTAATCATTTCGTGCCCTAAAGTTGAATAGAACTGTGAATTTGCATGTCCCTCGAAACTAGACGATCGGATTCCAACACATAAAGAGTGGTACAAATTAAGGATTCAAGTGACATGTTGGGTTTTCTTTCATATGTATGTAATCGTTCTCATTGAATTTTTTCATTCAATGTAGTCCAAACATTGTGAACTTGAATTAATCTTTGAACATTATAGAGGTAGATGGTAATAGAGAAAAACATTCTTGATGGTAGAACGTCTATATATAAATGGCTTCATCTATATTTTAAGAATTTTCTTTATCATCTAAAGTGAGAGTCGTGAGTCAAGAAGTACCAAAATACTAAGAAAAATTATTGGCAAAATTCTCAACGATAGGAGGTATATAATTTCCTTATTAATAATTTTCGCATTAGTTCTTTGTATTTCTATAGTCGTAAAATACATGTGGATTTTATGTCTCAGCTTATTTCTGAGTATAGTGGGAACCATGTTCTTTCTTTGATCTTAGCACTCCTTTTATCTTCATCTACTTTCATAATATATGCTATTCTAATTGCTTTGAGAGGAAGGTTGTAATGAGATATGATTTTAGAGAACCTTAGTCTCACATATATGAATGTAAATATGTAATCTACTTTCACACTTGCTGCTATCCTTGTGTTGCAATATAATCAAGCAATTAGAGTTCCTTTATTTGCCTATTAGAAGAAGACATGATGCTTAGTCATTTGCACCACATTGTAGAATTGGTACCAAGAAATGGCCAAGTTGAAGACAAGGTTCGAGTCCCTGCAACGCTCCCAGAGGTTCTCCTTCTATCCAGCAGCAACACATTTTTGCTTGATTTCCTTTTTGCCAAATCAAACTTCTCGATTTGATCATCTATAAATTATGATCAACGTAAAGTGCTATTTAGTTACACCGGTTAACATAGAAGCTGCATATTATTATGTGAAGGCATTTGCTTGGGGAAGACCTCGGTCCACTGAGTGTGAAGGAACTGCAACAACTGGAAAGACAGCTTGAATCTGCACTCTCACAGGCCCGGCAAAGAAAGGTGATGTACAGATCCTAAATGTTCCATAGGGTTTCTTTCTTTTTGAGTTTGAATTACTCAAGAGTTTCGATCACATAAGACACTCATTTATGCAAATAGAGAAGCATCAAATATAATTGTGGCAGTTTCCTAGTCTGATTACTTGGATTGTCATTTGGTATTCCCAGCAGCAAACCTTAGTTTCTTTTGATCTCCTCAAAGACAAGTGAACGATGACACCTCCTACATGTTTCGATATAGCTTTGGCATGACTAAATGTATCCTTCAGAAACACATTCCTCTAAACGATAAAAATAAGATTTGTATGAAAATGTTCATAGACATCAGAACTAAGGAATAGTAACTGAGGATGGTTTAGGGTTTCAAAATGCACCATTTGAACGGCTGCTCAATGGCAGACCTTTTTCCATAAAACGAGGGGCTTTTCTTTTTCTCAAGGTAGCAGAAGGGTGGAAACTGGTTGAAAGAATTATATATTCTTGCTAAGAGAACAATCCTTTCGGGGCTTATAAGCACCCGCGTCACCCTCGACTCTCAAAGGCACCTTTTGGGATGGGTAACATGGTTTTGAATATCGATCCGTATTGACGTACCGTCATTACGTTAGGGCGTATCGATGATATATCATAAAACCTTAAAAATACCTTCATCTATCACGTCAAGGCGTATCGATCAGTATATCTCGATACCAATCAAAATCTAGGGCGGTACCGATTGGTACACCTCAGTACCAGTTGATACGCCTTGGTATTAGTCAAAATACTGGTACTGCCCGATAGAAGATGGTCAATGTACCGGTATCCTCTCGGATCGGTACGTACTATCCATACCCGATGGTACACATCGAAATTGAGAACCCTGATGGGTAAAACCATGCGGACTCACCCCAAAAAGGATAATTTTTGATACTCTAGAATTTGTTCAAGACAGCTAGATTCGAAGATACTGAATTTTGTTCTTTTACTAAGAATATAGTGATTAATTCATAACCATGATACTTATCGATCACTTTCTTCTTCATGATAACATCGGAACCAAAGCTGGCCTCTTTTCGGTTCATGAAGCTTGTAATGAACCAGCCCATATCAAGATACCTTCCATGTCATTTTTCTCCTTTCTGAATCAAATTCATAATTGTCATGGAATCTGATTGACTTGTACGCATCTACATGCAATAGTAAAGCTACACTCTTGGACATCATCTTGTTACTGAATTAAAGATGCCTTCTAATATTCTATCAAGCATGTGGTGAAATCATTTGCATCCTGACTTCTTTTCTAAGTTCTATTTTGATGCCACTCATGTTTCCTGAAACCCATTTTTGGGTCTGACAGTTCCCAGGAAAAAGAAAGGAATTTAGAAGTTTTACACTACTTTAGGAGGGGGATTGATTAGGTTTGAAATGCAGCAAACCAAACAGTCCCTCCCTTATCCTTTAACTTGGCTACAATGACATGAACAACCTTCACTAAAAGACTGAAAGTTGCTGTTGTGCTTGGTTTATGTGCACTTTTCAAGCCTCTGAGATTTTATTTGCTTCAATATGGACAGTTTATGGTTTTATTTGTCGATCTTTAATGTGGATTTGCATTGCATAACACAAATGATCAATTTTCTGCCTCCGGGGAGACATCCCAATGATTAGGACACTTTGTAAACAGTCAAGAAGTCAGTCAAAAGAACACACACACACACTCAGAGAGAGAGAGAGAGAGAGAGAGAGAGAGAGAGAAGGTGTGATATCTTGTTTATGCTCTTAAATTGTCGAATACATGCTTACTAATCAAGAATTCTCAAGTGCAGACTCAGTTGATGCTGGACCAGATGGAAGAACTTCGGAAGAAAGTAAGCAACACTCGATCCTTTCTTTAATCTTGCATCGCATTGTTATTTGACTGAAGATGAAGTAAACTCTTCCTTTTTTCTTGTTGAAACGCATAGATGAAAACACAATCGACATTGCTAATTCTTTAACTGAAGATTATTTAGTGAACTATCCTTTTTTTCTTTTTATACTTCTTGAAATGCGTACATGAAAACAGTATGCATTCAGCTTATTTTCTAATTTAGCTTTCAGCTGGATCAATTTCCTCGACCCGAAATCTTCTGGCATTTTCGGCATGAATAGCAAGCGAATGTGGTGGATGAATGATAGCCTCATTTTTCTTTCGAATGCTCTTATATCTCCGTCGATTGGCAGTAATCCGTATTGTTGTTTTTGTGATGGAAGGAGCGTCATCTTGGAGAAATAAACAAGCAGCTGAAAGAGCAGGTACGTTCCTTCTTACACCAACAATGAAACCTGCAACGACTGCAGAAATCCCTTTTTTTGTGTTGCCAGATCGAGGCAGAAGGTGCCACCTTCAGAGCTCTTCAAGGGCCATGGTGCTCTGACGCAACCGCAGGCGGCAACGCGTTCCCCGCGCAGCCGCTGCAATCCAGCGGGATGGATCGTGAACCCACGCTGCAGATAGGGTATGAGTTCTTCCTTCCTTCTCCCCACTCTATGTTGGCATGCAGATCCGGAGAACATGGTCTTTAGCTTCTCTTGTATGATCGCGCACGACGTGATTCCTCAACAGGTATCACCAGTTTGTTCCTCCCGAAGTCGTGGCGATGCCCAGGAACTCAGCAGGAGAGAACAATTTCATGCTGGGTTGGGTGCCATGACCGATGAACCGGAAGAAGAAGAAGAAGAAGAAGAAGAAGAAACTGCCCTTTGTAGTGCTATTGTTGTGCACTTTGTAGTACTTGTCGACGGACGTCTCGAGAAACTGCCCTACTTGGTGTAGAACAAACATCCTGTGCTGCTATGCTAAAGTTGTGCCATCCATCGCCTTCTTCTGCTTGAAGGTTTTCAGTTTCCAGCATTGATACCGCGAGAGTTATCAGAGTCGTCCCGATGGCAATAGGAACTTCACAGCCATGCATCGGTTCTACAGAGTCTCAAAGGATCCCTGAACTATTTCTTTCACAGGACCTTAGAACTTGTTCCTGTCGTTGCCATTGCCATCGACAAAGTAATGTTGCATCTGTGACTTAAAGCAAACGTTTCACGAGTAATACCCAGTAAAGTTGGGTGACTAAAGAATTCAAATGTGCAGCACTAATCTACCCATCTGCAAGCAGTAACACAACAATATGGGAAGTGATTATTGCTGGTGGGGAGGGATCAAAGATGATAAATGCATCATTTTTGCCATTTCAAGATGATTCACATGCCCAACAATTGCCAGTATAATGAGGTTTAAGCACCACAGGGAGGGGAGCAACATTCGTATCGTACAATAACCAGAAACTATAATTTGTTCGAGAGTTTGGTGAAGAAACTTTAAAACACATTTTCGCCAGCGATTTACCGGGCTTTCTTGTGGAAACAAGAAGACTGATGATGCGCACCATATACCGGAAAACCAAAAGCCTCGAACCAATCTACCCCTCGGAAAAAAATTAACTCAAAACTGTGCCACCACTGTGTGCTCTTGCCCAGGCAGCCAGCCAGCATTTCACAAAATACATGAGACTTTGTCAAATGTATTTCATCTTGCACGATCGATACTGCACCAGAAAGAGGCCCCTCTGAAGAATTCTGATCTTTCACGAGTCTATTTTCTAGACTTGTGTGGGTGCGGCGAATTCAGTAGCTTGTCTTCAACCGACTGGATGGTAGCTTCTACCTGCAGCTCCCTCCCAACATCCTTTAGCCTCTTCAAACTTCTTCATATATTCTAGAGTGTAACTTCACATAGAATTAGTAATAAGATGGCAACTGAGAAACAGAATTCTGTCAAATAACTTAATAAACGATGGCTTTGAATTGTTTGATAAAAAAATAAAGCTGATTTTCCTCTATTATCAACATCTCATGTTTATATTAACAATATAATAATGAAGTGATGCAATCATGAGGTTTCAGCGTGGCCAAGGTGTTACAAACTACAAAGATTGGTTATATATGGCAATGAGGATTCAATCATTGCAAGTAAACAAATGGAACCATTATTAGATGAACACAATCACACCTGCCCATATGTGGTCCATCTTCTACACCATGTTAAGAGAACCCTCGGATGCATCCAGTGTCAGGCGGAAGCAACGATCCAGATCTGTTAAGTATTTCTTCATCCAAACTGTATCACACAATACCATTACAGTATAGTCAGTCCAAACTGCATGGCTCAATATCGTTATAGTCAACTGTCCCATATGTTAGTATTGAGCCTTTTCTTAATAAACATTGAAGCATGGAAATACTCATTAGTCGTGGTATGTGAACACTTTCAGCATCTCCAACATCGGTACAGTGTTAGCATGTCAGATACACCCTACTTATTCACAAAGTCACATGCTCCCAGAGGAGTCAAAGAAAAAAGTGAGTAAATACCTATAATTACCCAGCCTTAATCATGTTTGACACTTTTATTCCACTGAACAATCTTTATGCTCTTCCTATTAATTTTGACTAGCATAGATGCTACAGAAAATGGAAAAACATATTGGCTGAATATAAAAGGATACCTTCTTCGGCTGATACAAAGCGGACGAGTGAAACATGAGGGATGAGAAAAATAAATGACATACCGTGATGTTAAGGCATCTCCAGAGAAGTAAATTTTACTAAAGGTGAAGTTTCAAGTTCTACCAACTCCAGGCAAAGTTTTGTTACTTTTATTTTCCGGATACTTCTGCAACTTCTTTCATACGAAAATCTAGAACAAGTGTTATGACAGAATAGGAGTGAAAATAAAGAAGAAAGACTTGAGCCTAGCTAATAAACATGTCATGAGTTGCAAGAGAGCAATCAGTTCTTCTTTGTCATATTACTACAGTTTCTGTGGGTCTATGATCCATCATATTACCATATTGTTTATTACAATAGAACTGCCTAGTTCCGTGTAATCAGATATTAATCTTATATTACTAAATTTTCTTGATAAAAAGAAAACAAAGTCAACAAACATCAGAATAGATTAAGCAACCAGTGGCAAAAGATGACAGAGACAATTGTTGTCATATAATATCAAAACTAAAGCCATCTACTTTAATGAAGGCATGGTGAAAAATGAGCTCTGTATAGAAGCATATACCTATCTACCACACTGAAGTGTCGGAAAAGGAAGTCCATTAACACTTTATGCTGGTTTGATATGCACAGCAAAAATAAGCACAGACCTAGAGAGGTAGCAACAATTCCTATCCATATGACTAGGAAGCATGAAAGTCATATCACAAATAAATCTCACCATTTAACCAGCCATAAATTGGAGCCACATCTAAATTATAATTATGGTGTCCCATTATCAGGTGCAACTACAAATTAGAATTCTTCTACATTTACTGATGTCGACATATTGTCCCACAACCTTCAAGTGCATATATCAATGCGTTAATTTTGCTACCATGACTTGAAGAGTTGATATGGACTGACATATGCCAAAGAGGACACAATAAAATCTATGAACACCCATGCTGAGGAAAACATATTCATTTTAGTTTGTTCCAATGTTAGTTGCCACTCAGCAATGTTCCCAAGCACTAAAGAGAAGGATTTTGGAGAGAAGTGTGACATCAGAAATTTTCCAAGGTGGAATAAAGTATCATGTCATTTTGTTCTTTAAGCAACATAACTTAGTTTCAAAGTTTTGATTCCTCGTATGATCAATAAGTTAAAAATGTTCACATTCCAATTGCATGTGCAACATACAGGCCATAGCATTACTGCACTAGTAAGATTAGGAAAGAGTCTAAGGGTGTACTTAGGAACACATTCAAAATGTGCATTGATGGCCCAATGCACATTTCAAATGTGAATTGATGCTTGGTAAATTTTTTCAAATGGCATTTGACCTAGATGCTGCATTGCAAATACTCAAATACTGATATTACCTCAAGATAGCATTAGTATTTCAGCATTTGTGGGATACTAATGAAATTTTTTAGATTTCCCAAAGTATCCTATGACATTCTCTCAAATTACAAGATTATCACTATATAATAGAATCCCTAATTCTTATTTCCTCTCCCCTTCTCTTGATTTTTGCCATCGCCGACTCTCCTCTTAGGCTCTCACAAGTCCATCGACTCCTCTTACAAGAAACCAACATGATTTATTTCTTTTATAAGGTGAAATCTTATTTATTTATTTGCAAATGTTATTTTACATTCATTTATATGATTATATTTTTTATTTATTATGTATCTAGGCCATATGAAATTTTTTCTAAGATTACATACATCGTTTATTTATTTACTTATTAATTTTAATACAAAAATATGTATTCACTTTTGAATAAATATTAAAAATGTCAGATGGATAAATTTGTCACATAATATTCAATGGACTTTTGAAATACACTTACATCAATACACATTTAAGATTCAGTTTTCATCTATTTTTTATCAGACAATGCATTCCACAATTACATATTCACATAAACCTCTTTCTCCAAATGCACATTAAAAAAATACAAATGTGTGCCCAAATATGCCCTAAATGTCTAAAGCACTTTGCAAAACACAATAACAGGGTAAATGAGTATTTCATAACACGACGAACTTATCATCGCCTAACTGACACAATACACCCTCATAATATCAGAATACTTACATGAAAATTCTTTAGAATGATGGTGCTAGCCTTGTGCATAAGGGGTGGCTGTATCATGATGTAAACCGACCAAATAATGCAGTTTGGTACAAGCTCAAAATGGTCCTCATGATATTAAAAACTCTTTTAAGAATTTTTCTTCTACAGATTACATTTCCTTGATCTGCTCCCCCTTGTCTCAACAGCTTCTTCAGGAATCAGGCATAACTTATATCAACTTACTTCCCTTTTCTTGCAAGAATGGCTCAGGCTGCCATACAAACTGATTACAAGAGAGACTCGGCATAAAGCAACATGCTTGGACACAAAATAAGTATGGGCATAAAAGTAGCATGATCCATAGCATGATGATGTACTTTACCTAATAACATGTTTGGCCGAGGAGGAAAAAGCAGTAAATTTGCTTTCACTTAACTCCAAAGTATAGACTTAGACCCGAAAGGATCTTTGCACGTTTTCTAGGAATATCAGTTTCATAAGCCAATATCACGCCATCAAATATTTCATCATATCTGTCAAAGAAAAACAATAAGAATAGTATGCTGTTGAAACATTTTTGGAACTCATCCTTCCCTCTCATGTGTGTTGAAGTACTTGCAACAGGTTTGAATAAAGGATATACCAATATTTGTGATCACAGCAGTATATCCAAAAGGATTACGAAAAGATCAAGAGGTAATATGTCATGATTAAATATAGTATTCACAATAAGTAACCTAAAATATCCAAAATCTAGTTCCACACATCAGAATTGTGCATATGCAGGATGATAGCTGCACAGCCAGACTAATATTTTCATAGAACAGTAAGAAATAAACACTTGAAAGGCACATGAAAGCAGGATCTTGATAGTTAGTTATAGTTTCTTCCTGTTTTTGCTTAGGCGTGTTTGCATGTCGTGCATGGGAGGGATCATAGATCCACAGATATTCACATATGCTAAAGCTTCTTTTGGGGTGTCATTCCTAAACTTTTTTAGTAGGTTTATAAGGAAAACAGAAGGAAATTCAAGAAGAAATTGTACAACCAAATGAAGAGCAAGAAATTACTATATACAAGAAGTCAAAATATTTTTTCTTAAGATAATAATAAATCTAGGATAGCAAACCATAAAGTTCAATTCAGCTCCAAAGTTTATAAGTAGAGATATAATTGCATGAAATATACACATATATACAATGACCTAGTATCTTCATCGTTATCCCATCTAATCATCTTCATCATATTTAAATAATCAAAGTTGCTCATTATGCTTCCTTCCACTGCTGTAGGAAAATCAAATGTTTAGCTCCGATCAAAAAGTCATCAATCATAAAGAACAACTAATGATTTTGTCTAAATATTATTTCAAGTGCATCAAACAAAATACAAATACGCAAAATATAAAATGTCCATTTTAAACTCTCATTTGAAGTTAATCGATGCGTTAAAACAAAAATTAATGGTTACGTCAAAGTTGTGAGACTCAAGACCTGTATTTTTTTACGTTTATAGCATAGAAACTCTAAGAAGGTTGTTATACTCCCTTTTAGATAAAAAGGCAACCAGAAAGAACAGATATCCCAGTTGCTTCAAGACAGACAGGAGTCCCTAATAGCTGCCTGCACTTTCCATTATTCAAATATGAAATAATCATGGTGTTGTCTAGGAAATTTTTCTTATACCAATATTTTCAATACTTTATTTGGATTGGTCCCTCATGATGGTCAATAAATTGGTTGCGATAAAACAAAACATGGGTCTCGTTGTTTCAAGTGATTGACGAACAATTTTGACTAGGAAACTTCTAGGGCACGCACTTATGAATTTGCAAGATGGCTGTGACATTATGGACATTTCTCAAAACTCTGAACTCGTATGATTATGATCCTAATACAACCAAACTATATACATGTTATTCTTGCTACAATTTAAATGAAATTAATACGACGAAATAAATAAAATAGAAAAAAAAGGAACAAAATACACATTTTTTCCAAAGAGATTAAACTATCAAGAAACGGAAAAAAAGGGAAATATGAAGAACACAGATAAAGAAAGAGATTGAGCGTAAAGCTTTCTAAAGGAGTAGCTGGGAAGGGCGCGGCGGACCTTGTTGGCGATGGAAGGGTGGACATACACCACCACCAGGCCCCACTGCACCGCCGTCAAGCCTCTCCATCAGCTGCCCCACCCGACCGATCGTCCCTTCCTTCGTCGCCTTCTGAAAGCCCTAGAGGTCGGGTTGTCGGGTGTGGATCCGAATCGCACACTTCCTTCTTATCTCGTACTCGGGTCATCCGAAACCCGATCCGAAATCCATTCGACCCGGAAAGATGGTCAACCCGGTCGGGTCGACAGGATCCGATTGCCACAACCCGGATTCGTGAATCTGCTCGACCAATTACCTTTTTTTATGACAATAATTTTTCAATCGAATAAATGAAATTTCCTTTTCGTTGACAATCAATATACATTTCCAAACCAATGGTGGACTAAATCAAAATCTTTATTAGATAGACTTTGATTGGCAATGCAATTCTTCATGCTATATATATATATATATATATATATATATATATATATAATATGGTATAAAGTCAAAAATAGTGAGAGGACTCTAATGCATTCAATAAGCATTATGATCGAATGCGTTTGACCTTTGCAAGCATTTGATTTCGCCTGTCGATTGATTCGGTTGATTGTTGGATCGTCAGTACTCGGTCTCCCCCGCCATCCCTCAAACCATAGCAACATTTATCGTTCTCCTTAGCTTATGCCCATATACTCTTCGTTATTAAATTGCAAGTATGGCCTCAACTCCTCCCATAGGTTTGGAGTGCTGTCTGCAGTCATACTGCTGACGTCATCATCTATAATGGTTTTTATCGTGCCAAAAATTCTGTCGCATTTTCGGATCTAAATTATATACGGTTTTTAAGGGACCTCAATTCAGGAACTACCCCATAACATTTGTGTTGAGTCTCCATTCTCTCTCTCTCTCTCTCTCTCTCCCATGGCAAGTCAACTGCTCTCCGCGGTCGGCAACCACATCTCCCTCCCCGAGAGCTACGTCCGGCCAGAGTCACAAAGGCCTCGTCTCCACGACGTGATCAACGACACCAACATCCCCATCATCGATCTCGGCTCACCCGATAAGCAGCAGATCGTCGCGCAAGTCGCCGACGCCTGCAGGTCTTTCGGCTTCTTCCAGGTGCGTTCCTGCCGTCTGCAACCTCGTTCTTCCCTGCTGCTTTAACAAAGTGTTCACTGCTCTCTCTCTCTATACATATATATATGTATGTCTGTGTGCAGGTAGTGAACCACGGAGTGACGGTGGATTCGATGCAGAAGATGATGGGAGTGGCTTCGGAATTCTTTCACCTCCCACCGGAAGAGAAGGAGAAGTACTACTCCGACGACACCACGAAGAAGATGAGGCTGTCGACGAGCTTCAACATCAGGAAGGAGTCGGTCCGCAACTGGAGGGACTATCTCCGCCTCCACTGCTATCCGCTTGAGGAGCTCGTGCCCGGTTGGCCTTCAAACCCCGCTTCGTTCAAGTAAGATTTCCCCATCCCTTTTTTCTTCATGTAATGCCATATGCATGTATCCCATAAGCAATGGATGGCCAACTGCTGTCTTCTTGTGACTTCACATGGTATGTCTGAGCCTTTGGATATGCTCATCTACGTACTGTCTACTAAACCTTTCATTCTACATGTATATATGATTGCTACTTGTGAGTAGAGAAAGGCAATGTGTGTCATATGCACCATTTTATTTACCTAATCTGCATGCAGTACCATCTTTTGAAGGGAAGAAAACAATCTCTCCTGCTTTGTACGTGTTTCAGGGAAGTGGTGAGCGCTTACTGCAGGGAAGTCCGTCAACTAGGGTTTCGGCTGCTGGGAGCAATCTCTCTGAGCTTGGAACTGGAAGAGGACTACCTGGAAAAGATGCTCGGCGAGCAGGAACAACATATGGCAGTGAACTACTACCCGAAGTGCCCCGATCCCGAGCTCACGTATGGCTTGCCGGCTCACACCGACCCCAACGTCCTAACCATTCTTCTCCAGGATCCAAATGTGGCGGGGTTGCAGGTCCTCAAGGACGGCAGATGGATGGCCGTTCGTCCCCTACCCAACGCCTTGGTCGTCAACGTCGCTGACCAACTGCAGGTATCCCTCATCACATAAAATGTCATATATGATCAGAAGAAAGAGAGACATAGCCGTAGTGTTCTTCCGTGTCTCCACCTAATTAATGATCATTCGATCCTTCTGCGCACCTGGGAAAGAAAAGTAAAAGCAAATTGTTCTTTTTCTTCCCACTATCACTTAATTCTCCTTGAGATTTTCCAGGGATTGAACTTAATTTTCTTCTTAAACGTCTTCTTCATTTGGACGTAGCAGAAGATGTCAACGATGCCACGTTATCGGTCCCCACTGTTCCATTATCAGACCGAGTATCTTGTTCTTATCCGGACTGGAACACCCCGAGAGATATCGAGTCTTTGTGCTCCTCTTTCTCTTCTCTGACTGCGTGATCATCTTTGAATATGTTACGGTCCGAGAATTTGACTTCCATCAGCTCACCCCTTCCCTTTCCTTCTTCTCTGTGTAAAAAAGGTTAGGAATTAGACAAGGTAAAAGCTGTGCATACGTGAATGCAGGCATTGAGCAATGGAAGGTATAGGAGCGTGCGGCATCGAGCGGTGGTCAACTCCGACAAGGAGAGGATATCGGTGGCGTCATTCCTTTGCCCCGGCAACAGCGTGGTGATCAGCCCCCCGGAGAAGCTCGTGGGCGGCGACGGGTGTCGGGCCATGTACAGAAGCTACACTTACGAACAGTACTACGACAAGTTCTGGAGCAGAGCCCTGGACGAGCATTGCTTGGACTTCTTCAAACGCTGAGGGGAATCGAACAGGCATCGAGGAGACCAAGTGAGATTGCATCATCTACAATAAGGAGCGTTACGACATTCTCCATCGTTGTAATAAAATAACATTATTTATACGTACTAAAAAGGGACTCTCGAAACATTTCTACAGCATGATAATAGTTGCATAACACACCGATCTGCATCATTCTAGAACGTAGTCGAATTGATATCAAGGATGAAACCTTCCTTACAAAGAACCACTCTTATCCTAACAAGGATAATAAAGACAGACAGATGATGAGGTCAAACTTGGGTGTCGGTCCAAGTTGAATAAAGCTCGTCTATGTGGCAAAGGATGAAGTGATTGGGCTCTCGATGAATGGCCTATAAATTAAATTGGGTCACATCAAAAGTAAAGCTAGGTAAGGATGGTTCCCTTCAGGCAGTGAACTGCATGGACTGGAAAAAGAATCCAAGAATATAAGAAAACATGACATCATGATAAATTGTTGGAATAATGTCTTTAAAATTGTCTCCGACTTCGTGACAAGATATAAACTTTCAGCCAATCAACAATGCTCACAATTTACCTCTGGGATTAGCAACAAGAAATGAGATATAGGATGGAAGGTAAAGTCAAGTTGCAAAACAAGTAATGGAAGCATAGCCTTGTAGGGGTGGCTCATGATCACCAAGCTCACTGACCAAATTAAGCTATGCTTGGAACTAACGAGGTGAACTGAAAAGAGCTCGACTGATGATACCAGTTGCCTCGATGTAGCGATCCACACAACGCGAGATGCAACTGCTCTCACTTCCACTCAAGCTTGTTCCAGGCTTTGTGATGCACTTGGCAAAGCACTTGCTCCTTATAGTCTGTAGCATAAATTCAGCACATAGACTTAGTAACACGAACAAGCAATAACTTGTTGAATAAAATTAGAGCGAAAGTGGGCCTCAAAATGACAACCGGTAAAGATGTACAAGATCAACCCATTGTACAGAACTTTTAACAAGTTAGGTGATATGTGCATAAGAACAGTAACACTGTGAAAATCAGTACCCATCAATCTAAAATCCCTCTCTGTAAAGCAGGAAAAGTGTATAGTTTTCTTTCTTTTCTGACGGTGCAAACTGATTATCAAGGCAACAAGTTTGAATGTAGATTTGCCACAAATGAACAAACTGTCCCTGTTCAATCTCATTCGGAGTCGGCATAACTGGCTATGATATCACAAAACTCTCTGCAGTTAATTCAGAGGCTGCAGTTGTCCTGGGTGTGCAGGAGGCTGCCATAAGGCACACTACAGAAAAGATGGAAAATTAAGAACGCTATCACTAATGGTCTCAAACTGTTTAAATCGTTTTGAGATATAGATTTTGTGCATATCTACAGAAATTCAAAGCGACCAGCATATTATTTTGCAAATTCTGCTAGGAAATATAGGCAGGTCTTTTCCGAGGAAACCAATGGTTTCCGAGTAACTAAGGATCTGCATGCGGATGATATGCTTCACCAATGGTTCAGAAGGTTATTTGCTGTTTTTACTTTTTTTTTACTCGGAAACAAGATCTCATGCAAATTTACTTGTATGAAGTATTGAATATATAAAAAGGCACAAGTTAACTACAACTATTCTTCCAGTTTATCTTCCAAGTAGCAACAGAACCACAAGGAATTTTAAGGGCAAAAGGGCTATCTGAAAATCTAGTGCACTGACCATTTCACCTAAGAATAATCTTTATTTTATACATCTAATATGATTTTGCACAAATTAGTGTAGCAGTACCAACTTAGCACTAGTAAAAGGCAAATTTTAAGTGCATAATAGTGCCTAGACAAATTTTAATAGCTGAAACCATTACTATAAAACCATATCACTTGTTTCTAGTGCAATAATTTATAGCACACATTATTCAATGAAAACCTCAGAGAAATATCTAATTTTTAAACTGCTATTTCACAGAATAGCCACATAACAGTGAATCATAGCTAATCTAAAACCTCATGCTTCACAAAAAATAAACACACTTTTAAAAAATAAATATCTTACCACTTATATATTCTCAGTTTAATTGTATTCAAAGTCTACGATTTCATAGTTTCCTCGATTAGATGTTAAAAGTTTAGGTAGGCCACTGAAGATAGGGCGTGGACGTGCATTTGACCCTTTCATGGTTTAAGTTGCGAATTGTGTACACCCATCCTGGACAGTCCGATTGGAAAAGCCATCTTACTTTTTATTTTGTTTTCATCAGTTCTTTTTGCTCTTGACTTTTTTAACAGGCTCAAGAAATTGCTATGGATCAGCCCCTACACCAACAGAAACTTAAAAAAAGAAGAATTTGCATGATCCAGCAAGG